CCCTGGGCCCCTCAGAGGAGCAGGAGGAGGGCTGGCCTGGGGGGCCTGGGGCACTGGGCCATTGGCTGCCTGTGGCCCGGGGCCGCCTGGAGAAGCTGGAGGGGCTGTTGGCCAACGTGAGTGGGCGGCTGGGTGGGCGCCTGGATCTGCTGGAAGAGCAGGTGGCAGGGGCTATGAAGGCATGTGGGCAGCTCTGCGCCGGGGCCCCTGGGGAGCGGGACTCTCAGGTTAGTGAGATCCTCAGTGCCTTGGAACGCAGGGTACTGGACAGCGAGGGCCAGCTGCGGCTGGTGGGCTCTGGCCTGCACAAGCTGGAGGCAGCAGGGGAGGCTCAGCAGACCATGCTGGAGGGACTGCAAGGGGATGTGGGCCAGCTCCAGGAGCGCATGGATGCACAGGAAGAGACCACTGCAGAGCTCATGCTGCGGCTAAATCTCACTGCAGCACAGCTGGGCCAGCTGGAGGGTCTGCTCCAGGCGCGCGGGGACGAGGGCTGTGGTGCCTGTGGTGGTGTCCAGGAGGAGCTGGGCCGCCTTCGGGATGGAGTGGAGCGCTGCTCCTGCCCCCTGCTGCCCCCACAGGGCCCTGGGGCTGGTCCAGGTGTTGGGGGACCAAGCCGTGGGCCCCTGGATGGCTTCAGTGTGTTCGGGGGCAGCTCAGGCTCTGCCCTACAGGCCCTGCAAGGAGAGCTCTCTGAGGTCATCCTCACCTTCAGCTCCCTCAATGACTCCCTGCATGAGCTCCAGACCACTGTGGAGGGCCAAGGGGCTGATCTGGCTGACCTGGGCGCCACCAAGGACAGCATCATCTCTGAGATTAACAGGCTGCAGCAGGAGGCCACGGAGCACATTACAGAGAGTGAGGAGCGTTTCAGAGGCCTGGAGGCTGGACAGGCGCAGGCCGGCCAGTGCCCCAGCCTGGAGGGGCGACTGGGCCGCCTCGAGGGCGTCTGTGAGCGTTTAGACACTGTGGCTGCAGGACTGCAGGGCCTGCGTGAGGGCCTTTCCAGACATGTGGCTGGGCTCTGGGCCGGGCTACGGGAAACCAACAGCAGCAGCCAGGCACAAGCGGCTCTGCTGGAGAAGCTTCTGGGAGGGCAGGCAGGCCTGGGCAGACGGCTCGGTGCCCTCAACAGCTCCTTGCTGCTCCTGGAGGACCGCCTGCAGCAGCTCAGCCTGAGAGACCTCACTGGTGAGGGGCAACAGGAGGCCTGGGTACCCTTTTCAAGCCCTTCCTTCTCCCCTACCCCACAGCAGCCAGGCTTGATCTCCTCTACCTTCTTGCTCTGCCCAGCCTGAATTGCAGCCCCAACCACTGTGCCAGAGGTTGCAGTGTGTCCGTGAGATGACACAAGGTCTGAGTGCCACTGCCTCTTTCTGGCTGCTCAGATAGGCCTGTGGGTGTAGGTGGGATGTTGCTTTGACAGCCAGGTATCCAGCATGGGCAGGAAGAGACCCCATCTCCCCATCAAACTGCAAAACCCCACCTGTTTCGCCCATCCCAGTGTCCTTATCCACTGGAAATTCCCTTCAGGGCTCTTCTTCAACTTAGTTTTGTCACACAGGACCTCCGGGTAAGGCTGGGCCCTCAGGACTTCCTGGGATGCAGGGGCCTCCAGGCCCTGCTGGACCTCCAGGACTTCCGGGCATGGATGGACAAAGAGGCCCCATTGGGCCACCAGGTATGTAGGCTGAGACCCTTGCTGCAGCCGGGGTTCTCTGCCCCCCTCCTGGCCCTAGGCTTGACCTTTCACCAAACCTGATGGAGAAGGGGAAGTGGTGAGGACCTGGGGACTCCTGGAGGTCAACGCTAGGGAGAGGAAAGTGAAGGAGCTGGGATAGGCACTGTGTTTGGCTGTTGGATCTGCTGGTCCTGCTGCTCTTCTGGAGACCAGGACTGAGCCTGCAAGGGCCACGGGGGATGTGAAAGTCTGGGGCTAAGGCTCACAGCCCCAGAGTTGAACAGGGAGTGTCTATTACTCCTTTTCCTGTCATCCCACTCCTGCTTTCAAATCCACAGGGTGCATGCCTGTAATCCCAGCACTCTGGGAGGCTGAAGCAGGAGGACTGAAAGTTTGAGCTCAGCCCAGGCAATTTAGTGACTTAGCAGGACTCTGTCTTAAATAACTAAATACAAAAGGCTGAGGATGTAGCTCAATGCAAAGGTCCTGGCTTCAATTCCTAGTATAAAAAGAAAAAGAAAACCCACACAGCGCATGGTACCCAAAGCAGCAGGAAAGGCTCAGTAGACGTTTGCTTCGTGACTCAGTGGAGGCGCCTTCCCCCTCACTGCTCCCTTTTCCTCTTCCCACAGGTCCCCAAGGTGAACAGGGTAAGTTAGACTCGGGATGGAGGAAAACTGAAGTCCGGCCTGGAGGCTGGAAGCGCCGAGGAGAGATGGCCAGGGAAGGGGGCTGGCCAGCTCTGCCCGGGCCTCCACCCTGACCCTCACCCTATCCCCACCCAGGAGTGGAGGGCGCGCCAGCAGTCTCCGTGCCGCGGGTGGCATTTTCAGCCGCCCTGAGTTTGCCGCGGTCGGAACCGGGCACTGTCCCCTTCGACAGAGTCCTGCTCAACGACGGAGGCTTCTACGACCCGGTGACCGGTAAGCCACAAGGGGGCGGGCGAGCGCGTGGGGAATCAGGTCAGGGTGGGCCGCGACGTCCTCTCGCCGGAGGATCTTTTCATTCTTGGATTCGGCGAGACCCCGACTCTTTCTACCGTTTATCCTTTCTCACCCCAGCGTGGGCAGGGGACCGCGTGGGGAGGGAGCAGCCATTCATTCCACAGCTCGTCCCTGGGGCCTGCTTGCGGCCAGGCAGTGTCGTGGGAGCCCAGCGATGCAGGAGTGGAACAGAGACGAAAGGATCCAGCGGTTCCCCGTCCAGGAGCGCGGGGTGGGCTCCCCCGAGGCCTTTCCGGCCGGCTCCGCCCCCTCCCGACTGCCGTCCTTGTCCCCAGGGGTGTTCACCGCGCCACTGGCCGGACGCTACTTGCTGAGCGCGGTGCTGACCGGGCACCGGCACGAAAAGGTGGAGGCCGTGCTGTCCCGCTCCAACCTGGGCGTGGCCCGCATAGACTCCGGCGGCTACGAGCCCGAGGGCCTGGAGAACAAACCGGTGGCCGAGAGCCAGCCCAGCCCGGGCGCCCTGGGCGTCTTCAGCCTCATCCTGCCGCTGCAGGCCGGGGACACGGTCTGCATCGACCTGGTCATGGGGCAGCTGGCGCACTCGGAGGAGCCGCTCACCGTGTTCAGCGGCGCCCTGCTCTACGGGGACCTGGAGCTCGAGCAGCTGTAGAAGCGCGC